AGCTTCTCCCCCTCCTCCTCCTCCACAGCCTTCTCCCCTTCTCCCCCTCCCTCCTTCTCAACCAGCTGACTCCCCCTGGCCTCCTCTCCCCTTGCCTCCTTCTCCACCAGCTTCTCCCTTCTCCCCCTCCTTTCGCTTTGGGACCCACCAGCTTCTCCCTTCGCCCCCTCCTCCTCCTCCACCAGCTTCTCCCTTCCCCCCTCCTCGTTCTCCACCAGCTTCTCCCCTCCTTCTCCACTAGGCTTCCGTCCCCCCTCTCCGTCCCACCTTCTCCCCTCCTCGCTTCTCCACCCCAGCTCGATCTCCCCTCCCTCTTTCTCCGACCACCGCCGCGTGCGGCCCCTTGCGGCCGTTCGTGGCCACCAGCGTGTCTCCCCTCCTTTCCTTCTCCACCACCTTCTGCCCTTCTCCCCCTCCCTCCTCCTCCACGAGCTTCTCCTTTCTCCACGCTGCCTCCTTTCTTTCAACCAGCTTCTCCCTCGCTTTCCTTCCTCCACCAAAGCCTTCTCGCCTTTCCTCCCCTCCTCCTCTCTCACCAGCTTCCTCCCACTCCTCCTTCTCTACCAGCTTCTCCCTTCTCCCCCTCTTCCAAGGCTTCTCCCCCTCCTCCTTCTCCAACCAAGCTTCTCCCCCCCTCCGTCCTTCTCCAGCCACTCTCCCCTTCGCTCCTTCTCCGACCAGCTTCTCCCCCTCCTCCTTCTCCACCAGCTGGGTTGTCCTTAGCTGCAAGTGGAAAATCGTCATATGTTGCAGCACTACTATGGCCCGAAGTGCCGCATGCGCATACGCCATCCTATATCATATTATTTCGGCAGGTCGCTATATCACTATCATCATTATTTCGCCCAGCGTCAGGAAACCTTTCGCCACACAACCAGACGAGCTTTGATTGAGTCGCCACGAGTCGCGCGTCGCCGGACGCACGCGAATGTGCCCGCATAGGCGCGGGGGCGGGGCCTATCGGGGAGGCGCGCGTCCGGGGCGGGGCGGGCGACGCGGGGCGGCCGCGACTACGTCGTGGGCGGCGGGGGGCGGGCTAGTTCTGTCTCAGATGATTCGCACAGTCAGAAATTTCCGCGCCTACCACCCGGTCGTTTACAGCACCGTGCCTATCTTTAACTAGCGCCTAACCAATGTAGTAGTGTCGGCGATCTTTGAGCAACGCTTGCACACTTACCAACAGCATTCAGTGGAAGAACCGCGTACATCGCTGTCGCTAAATTTTAAAGGTGATGAGCCCTAGCCCATTCGCCTTAAATATTGTTTACTATCGACACGGCACTCCGCGAGGCATAAAAAACAAACAACTCAGCGAGCAGGTGCAGAGCAATGCACGTCCACCATACGTATACAGTAGACTGGATACCCGGGTCCACCCTCGGCTTAGGGTTGACCAAAGTTGACCATCGAAGCTAATTGACGCGCTGGCAGGTGAGTACCACGTCTATAATATCAATGTCCCTCAACTCTTTTTAAGATCCCGCTCAACTCGGCCTCACTGCCAAATAAAACACATTGTCTACCGGACAAATGTCTTAAGTTACTATAAACACTAAAATACAACAGCAAACTATTGCTTAAATATTGTACTTGTGATATTACTCGTCGACGAAGATTGTTTATCAACTTGTAACCGCCATTTCTCGTTGCGCACGCTCGCGCGGTTCCAGTGCTAGTGAGCGGGCACAATGTATTTCCAAGTGGAGGGGTGGGCAGGTTGCACGCGGTTGCAAACCGCGCTAGCGCTGCGCAACGAAAAATGGCTGCCCACCCCTCCACTTGGAAATACATTGTGCCCGCTCACCAGCACCTTTAGTGTTTATAGTAACTTAAGACATTTGTCCGGTAGACAATGTGTTTTATTTGGCATACCGAAGAAGTTATTATAGGCTAAAAGTTGTGAGAATAAAACTCATACGCAGTTGCCATGTTACGCTCTATAGCCCTGCGGCAACTGTACGCGGGCTATAGTTACTAGAGCTAGCCAGCCCTGTGCTGCGTGCACAAACAACATGAATAAGAGAGCAGGTAGGAAAGCGGGATTGAAAAATTCGTTCGACACTCGCTTCATTTCAAACCATCACAGCTCGAATACACATCCTACAGCTTCCATCTTGGTATCTATGTGTACATAAATGTTCACTTGTTCGAATTATAACTCTGGCCTTTGTTCTTACCTACCCCGCCAGAGATATCTCGTGAAATCCTGCAGGAAATGTTCTCTCCGTGAAAATGTAAAGAGGACGTTATCATCCCAAAATCCCTAACGGCACTACTTTCGATCGGTCGCTGTAGTCGTGTGTGTGTGACGTCATTCCCGCGCGCATTGTGCTTGGCTTGGCGGGCCTCGAAATGGAGCTCGGAGGCCGGCAGCGGCTCATCCCGGCATGCAATGCGCCCCATTACTCGTGTATAAACAGACATCTCGTCCTTTTTACATTTTCACGGAGAGAACATTTCCTGCAGGATTTCACGAGATATCTCTGGCGGGAGTAGGTAAGAACAAAGGCCATAGTTATAATTCAAACAAGTGAACATTTATGTACAGATAGATACCAAGATGGAAGCTGTAGGATGTGTATTCGAGCTGTGATGGTTTGAAATGGAGCGAGCGTCGAACGAATTTTTCAATCCCGCTTTCCTACCTGCTCTCTTATTCATGTTGTTTGTGCACGCAGCACAGGGCGGGCGGACGTGCGGTGTACTTGTGTGTTGCAGATGAGCATTTGACCAGCATTTACAGGTGATTATAGGTAAAATAGAGTAGAGAAACATTAAGACTTTGGTACATTTCGTGTTTATTTACCATTAATTTTTTTTATTGAGACGTTTCAAGTGCCTGTGGTCTTACTCGTAGACTTAGTCCGAGCCGACGCATGCAGACCCCAGTAATGGTTAAACCCGCACCCTCAGATTAGCAAAGCGGAGTTATAACGTCTGCATTCGCCTACGCCTACTCCCTAACCCTAACCCTAACCCTAACCATATAAGATAGTTATTAGTTACCAGGGTACGTTCCGGTATACCGGACCGTACCCAGGGTCTGTTCCGGCAGTACCCTGGGGGACATAGACCCTATGAGCGTCACTGACTCAGTGACTGTGTTGGTGTGATGCACTTGCACGTGCAAGTTGCAGGGCTCTCAAGGGGTATAGCTTTAAAAATGAGTGATATTTATTTTAAATCAGAAAATCTCAGGCCGAAGGCATTAACCTTTGCGTCGTAGACGCGAAGGGGGGTTGGTTGAGGGAGGGGGTGCCCCTCCCCTTGGTAGGAATTGTTTAAAAATGGGGTGCTATTTGATGCCCTCAGCAGTAGTGATGTCATGGTCATTGATTATACTCGATCATCGGTTGAACAGTGGCTCGAACCAAGCGCTTGGTTATCAAAATCCATAATCGATTTCATCAAAAAATAAATAAAAAAATCGGAATAAATGTAAAACTTGAACAAGAAAACTTGGAACAGTGATGAGGGTGCCTCAATATCATCACTACTATACAAGTTACCCTTTATTAACATACATGTATTATACACACAGTCACTGGCACCCACAGGTCTTAAGAAAATAGAAGCACAGAAGGATAAAATCATCAGTGATAATAAAAAGCAAGCGCTGTAGGCGCCCTGCATGCTAGGGGGGGGGGGCATGCCTCCCTGAAAATTTTTGAATGGTAGACGTCTGGAGATGCAATCTGGTGAGTCTTGCGAGAGAGATTTAGGAACAAAATTTTTTAACCCAAAATTTACTGGAAGCACTGTGCCTCCAGTGCTTCTATCTGCGGGCGCCACTGCACATAGGGACAGTGATTTTCCGCGATCGCGGAAAACGGACGGAATTCACGGAAATGGCCATTTGAAACGGAAAATCGAGGAAAATAAAATCGCGGACTGTAAAATTTACACTTTCTTCTGATTTTGTTACCATTAGAATAATATCGAACCTAAAATCAACCTTGACAGTCTGCAGCCCGGATCCGCGCGAAGCGCGAACAGCGCCACCTCGTGGCGCCTTTTCATCCAATTCGCTGCTCTGTCAATATCAATTTCACGGTTCTGTCAGATCGGCCTCTTATCGGTCAATTGAGGAGTTGTGGCGCTTGCAGAAGCTTTTCGACTATGCACGTAGGGCGAGAATAAATGCAAATGCTCGTAATTGGTAACTTGCTGGTTGGCGCGTTAGGTTTTCCTCTAGAAAAGCGATTTCGAATTTATTTAATTATTTTATTTAATAACCTGAAGTTATTCTCGTACATATGGCGTCCCATAGATGGCGCGACGAGGCTCTCTTCGAGGGATTTTCCACAGAATTTTCCACACCAGCCATCTTAGTTCCCCGCAGGCCTGACTGATTGATGGTTGTTTAGACTGAGAATTGCTTCGAGTTCGGATAGTAAGATCGCAAGCGATATGCAATATGCAATTTGATATGTCCTCTTGACCCCGCGCTGCCCGTGGCGACGGCACGTCGTGCGAGCACGTGCTGGCGTGGCCGTGGCAGTTTTTACATGGTGGGGCACATTCCAGCCTCCCTCCTCCCCCGCGCTCACGTGGAGCTGGCTCGGGGAGTTTTTGCGCCGCCGTGACTTGTATTTATTTAGCATTACATTTTATTGAAACGCTGCAAGTACAGTGCAGTGTAGGCTGCCCGCTATACGCATTCGCGCGCCCGCCTTCCTTAATCCCGCGGTCGCGTGCGCCCAGTCCCGCGGAAGTGCGCGGCTTAACCGCTTTCGGCGGTCGGGGAACAACGCATCTTTTGCGCAAGGCCATCTTGTATCCGGTCTCTCTGGATAACACCGAATTCTTACTCTTACTATTACTGTCTGAATAGTACTTACTGTAGCTTACTGATATTTATCAGATTACAATTGATTTCATGCATCGGATTGCATCAGATTACACATTGATCTGTGCTGTTAAAGACAGGGTTGCTATAAAAAAACGTTTACGATTTATACTACGTATTTCTCATACACTTCTTCCTTTTGTGTTTTTAGATTCATCAAAAATTAGTGTTCAACTCTGAAATCATGGGTCAGAGTTCAGCTACAAAGCAGACTAATCCATGGCCCCTTGGACATCGATTCAGCATATTCTATCTGGCTCTTCTGGGGATGGTCATCATTGTAGTCATTGCAGGGCTGTATCACTTCTGGCCAAACTCAACATCCACACATCATGACAACAGAAAAGATTATATTAAACACAGTCTTGAGAATGCAGAGGAGGTATATATGCCTTTTTACCCTACATGTAAACTCAATTTGATCAGTATCAATTTGATAACAAATAGACATAGTCTGTTTAATTGTAGATAGTCTGTGTAAATTGCTTTGCATATGAACTATGCTATTTTCGATTCATTGTGGCTAGAAGCACTAGAGCAATATGTCTGTGAGTTTAATGCACTTGTGAAGTGGTTTTTGAATAGTAAATAATTGACCTTGACCTCTCTATGCAGGTTGTGATTCCAGTAGATGCTCCGATTCCAAAAAAGGGTGACATAAGCTGCACATATAACACGTGTTTTGATGTGTACAAATGTGGATACAACGATGACTATAAAATTAGCATCTACATTTACCCATTCAACAAATATGTAGATGACAGCAGTGCACCCATAACAAGCCTAATCTCACGTGAATTTCACGAAATTCTGACAACCATAGCGGAGAGCGAGTATTTCACGACCGACCCGAACAAGGCTTGCATATTTGTACCTTCGATAGACATGCTGAATCAGAATAACCTCAGACTAAGGGAAACTGCACAGGCATTGCAGTCTCTACCATAGTAAGTTTTGCATTTATGTTTATGACGCGGGCATGCAGATGCACTTGTACACACATCTGCGGATGCATGTAATGATACATGTTTAGCCCTTCTCTGTGTGGTTTGAGATTTATTTAGTAAACACCTAGATTTTGTCTACAGCTATTTTTATCAGGATGTTTCCTGAAGTATTTTATATTCGTTAAAATACAAGCTAATAATCTTAATTTTTTGCTGTTACGTGCAGCTGGAATGAAGGTTTGAATCATCTTCTCTTCAACATGATGCCGGGTAGTATACCAGACTACAACACTGCACTTGATGTGCATCGAGATAAGGTATGATTTTTTTATTCCTTTTCAGCTTCACAGATGTAGTCAGATAGAGCCTGTTTTGACAGTAACATTTAGCCATCAATGTTACTATGTCGAATATATAATGAATATATTTCCTGTTACTGCTTCAGCCACTGATGTATTGTTATATTTTATAGGCAATGGTGGCAGGAGGTGGGTTCTCCACTTGGACATATAGACGAGATTTCGATGTCAGCATACCAGTCTACAATCCTTTACTAAGAGATGTTGAACTTGCTGATAAGCCAGTTGGGTAACGAAAATTTGTTGTGTAAATATTTGAAATAGGATAAAAGCTTGTAGTTTGCTGAAAGGCATATTCTTGTCATTCTTGTAATAAGAGTCCTTTACCACGTAGACACATCATTCAGAATATATCATAAAGACAGACGGTAGTCCGTAATGTCATGCCACAAGTGCCTGGCATGATTTTGCGAGTAGCTTTTATGACCTTGGATCTACAAATCACAGTCGTTCTACTCACTCTCTCTTCTTCTCTCTCTCTCTCTCTCTCTCTCTCTCTCTCTCTCTCTCTCTCTCTCTCTCTCTCTCTCTCTCTCTCTCTCTCCCTCTCGC